ATTCTCACTGCTTCCTGGTATAGTCGAACATGATGTAACCTGCGTGAAGGCATATTAGTTCATTTTGACCCTTCGACGACAGCATGATGGCGATTGCGTTTATCGGAAAGTGTTGTCATGCGCAGCTAAACATTCATCCGTTTTTTCGTTTTGGGATTTCTCTTTCCCACCACACCACTACCATTATCGCGATTTGTATCCAAGATCCTGGACAATGTTTGAATTTCCGGAGTCCAAAATCAGAATAATGTGCCGGCAGCTCTCATGTATTCCCATACGATTAACACGTTACTTATAAAAGTTGAATTATCACCGTGTGCGCGCAACACAATAGCCGTTGCTGCATAGAAGTTGGAATTTAAAGAAGATGAAGGATTTGTGATTGTTTCTCCGCCTAGGCCTGGTCACATTCGACCTGTATTCTCTGACGGCGTCTGAAGGGCCTAGCGTGCTGTTATTCTATCTATAAAACTGAATTTCTGCATCTGCGGGTAGCTGTTTGTATAAATATTTATTCGTTGCACGTTTCATTTATGCAATAAATCTTTGGATTATTCCTTCCCTATCAGCTAGGCCAGCCATTCTGATAATGATGTTGACCCCACTTGTGGTGGTACTGGTTGTGGTGAAATAGGTCGCGATTATCGCGGGGGATTTTGCCGATTCTCACGGCTTCTCGCTATAGTCGAACATGATGTAACCTGCGTGAAGGCGAATCAGTTCATTTTGACCCTTCGACTGCAGCGTGATGGTGTTTGCGTTTATCAGAAAGTGTTATCATGCGCAACTGCACATTCATCCGTTCTGTCGCTCTGGGATTTCTCTTTTCCACCACACCACTACCATTGTCGTGGTTTGTATCCAAGACCCTGGGCAGTGTTCGAAATTCCGGAGTTCAAAATCAGAATAATGTGCCGGCAGCTCTCTCCTGTATTCCCATATGATTACTACGTTGCTTATAAGAGTTGTATTATCACCGTATGCGCGCAACACAGCAGCCTCTGCTGCATAGAAGAAATTGGAATTTAAAGAAGAGAAAGGATTTGTGATTGTTTCTCCGCCTAGGCCTGATCACATTCGAACTGTATTCTCTGACGGCCTCTGGAGGGCCCAGCGTGCTGTTATTCTATCTGTAAAACTGAATTTCTGCATCTGCGGGTAGCTGTTTGTATAAATATTTATTCGTTGCACGTTTGGTGTTTGCAACAAATCTTTGGATTATCCCTTCCGTATCAGCCAGGCCAGCCATTCTGATAATGATTTTGACCCCACTTGTGGTGGTATTGGTTGTGGTGAAATAGGCCGCGATTATCGCAGGGGATTTTGCCGATTCTCACGGCTTCTCGG